AGTGAAATACTCTCACAAATAAGAGGTCCAGTTGTAGTACATTTCACTACTCTGTGCATTTAGTTTAGTCAAATAAAACCTTACTAGGGCCTAAACATGTAGTGGGCAAAGCTAATCCTCACTGGCATGTCTTCATAAGTTGGTGCCTTTCTTATAACTCTTTGATATAGAGAGATACTAGCAGGATTAGTCACCCCTCTAGATACCCTTATTGTAAGCCTCTACCCATATTGAGTAGTCATATGCCTCTGTCTGCTTGAGATGACCCATTCATTGTAATCGCGATTCCATTCGTCGTCAACCCGATAAAGTCCCTATGTGTTCACTAGAATCAGTGTTGGATTCACCACCTGACACCATTAAATAGGAATATTAAGATTCTCCACTAACCACCTATCTAGATTGATTTGTTTTTTCATAATAATGAGATTTCATCACCTGAAAAAGCTCAGCGACATGGATAAGAAAATCCATCTCCACAGCTGTTAACCATCTCAATACTGATGCATTTAGAGTCATCTGTAGACCTAGAGTCATTTGTAGACCTAGTTTATCATCATAACCATCATCTCAATATTGATTCATTTAGATTCATCTGTAAATGTATTTTTAGTTTTCATTATGAAACCTTGAATCAATATTGATCATGAATCAATATTTCACCTGAATCAATATTGGGATGATAATCTATCATCATAACCATCATCTCAATATTGATTCATTTAGATTCTCATCTGTACAACGAGGTTTCATAATGTGACTTCATCAACGTTCACGCTCTATCATCATAATCATATCATAATCATCTCATTTAGATTCATATGTACATCTAGTTCTAGTTTTCATAATGAGTTCATACTAAGTGTTCACGATCTATCATCATAACCATCATCTCAATATTGATTCATTTAGATTCTCATCTGTTAGCTAGGTTTCATGATGTGACTTCATCAATGTTCACGCTCTATCATCATAATCATATCATAATCATCTCAATCCTGATTCAAGTTCATACTAAGTGTTCACGATCTATCATCAGATCTCACTCCTATCATAATTTAAATCGATTTAGTTAAATTTTTCAGGAACAGTTACCTAAGCCTCCGATCTGCAACACCTGAAGGTTCAGCGGCGGCTGGTTGACGTCGCGCCGCCTCCGCTGCCGTTGTTATCCCCACCGCCGTTGTTGTTGTTGTTCATGATCTCCGAGAATTCGAAATCGTCTTTTTTCGCTCTGTTAGCTTCTTAATTTTTTTTTAGTGTGAAGCGAGATCTTTCGATTAAACGACGTTTTAAATAATCCCGGGTTGATTGCTGATCCGTTTTTTACACTAAGTTCTCATATTATTAATTGTTGCTATTTTGGTTTCCAAATAAAAAAAAGAAACCCCCTCCCCCCTCCCCGCCATTACATAATATATGAATAGGCCCAAATTTGTCTAAAAAGCACATTCCAATGCTTGATCCAAAAAAAAAGCACATTCCAATGCAATATCTCGTTTATGTATTCATATTTATTGAAACAATAATTAATTTAAATTTTTGTTACATTATGTATGCTTCAAAAGTCTTATACTGTTTTCTGTAATTCTAAACTTCTAAAAATTCTTGACGTTATATTCTATACATATTATATAATGCTTCAAATAGTATTAAAATTATATAATTAATAGCCTTTGCTATTAGTATTTTAATTTAATTATACTCATCTAATTTATTAATTTAAGGTCTTATTTTTTATCTGCTAATACCAGTTGTCATTTAGTTTTTTTTAAGATGGGCCAACAAAACATTTCATTTATGATATTTATAATTTTCTTTGCATATCTATCGTATTAGTTTCATGTTTTCCTTTTTTCGCATATCTGCTTCCCTAATATACATAGTGTAACACAGCTCCACATTTTAGGAGACAGGAAAGCTCACATGTTACCAAAAAGGTTCTCACTAGACTCATTTGTTACAACTCTGGTTAAGCCGTATGAAAAGAACAATATCGTGTGATGACAAATTTTAATGCAGTCTTAATGAAACAATTAATCAGACATATTGAATTTAGTTTATCATGTCGATATCATCAGATACATTGATTTTCATTCCTTGAAAAAGGTCAAATCAGTATGGTACTAAAAACTTTTAAATTCAACGATTTTCTTAGGACCGGCTCTAGATAATAAGCATAATTTGAAGAAGTATTGAAAATAATAAAAATACTGAATAAAAATTTATACTCTGTTAATTCAAAATCTCTAGAGCTTCGTGTTGATAACATATTCTAAGTAAAAAAAAAAGAAATTGATGTGTATTACTGAGTAATAATTTTTTTATTTAAAATTATACTAATTTGGGTACAAAGTCTAAGTTGGAGTAATAAACAAATAAATCTAATATTTTCCCTTAATGAACACATAATATTCATAACAAAAGCCAGATTATGTCATTAATACAGCCTAGAGATGGCAACTATGGACCTGGACCGCCGGTCTGACATGTAAAGGACTGTCGCGGGACGGTATTGGGACGCGGTTTTCTAGTTGCGGGCCTCACGGGACGGGTCTTTGCGGGATTGGGTCTTTTTCGGGATGGGCCAAAACAGGTCATGCGGGATTACAAGGACCCGCAATTTTTTCTTCATTTTTTTTTGTTTTATCTGAAAAAAACGAGAAATAGAGTGAGAAGAAGACGATTCATGTGACTTCCTTCAAGAAAACATAAGGAGCTGCAACGATGAGGATTCGACCTTCGGTGATGATGATTCGAGCTCCGACGATGACGACTCCAGCTCCGACAATGATGATTCGAGCTTTGACGGTCTTTTGATTTGGTTTTTTCTTTTTATTTCATTTTGGATTGGCAGTTTTGATTTAGTATTTTTTTAATTTAATTTTTGCATTTAAATCTTTACTTTGTATGTTAATATGTTTTGGGTGTGACAAAAATAACTACAATTTATAAGTCTATATATGTATAATCATATTAAGAAACTCAATTTATACATGCACTTGTTACAAGAACTTATCTCATTTTCAACATGCACTTAACAAATTCTTTTGAACTTCAATAGTAGCTACTTCATGATAAATTCATTTTGTTTGCTTAGGTATGTAATGGAGCAGTCTTAATCATCATAGAATAACTTCCTACGTCAAGAACTGCTATGATTGACTACATCGGCGTCCAGCCCGCGGGACGGCTTGTAAGGGACTGTGTATATTGGCGGGACGGGACTAAGACGACCTTTCGGGGACCGCAGCCCGCGCGGAACAGCCCCGCTGTAGCCTGCAAAAAATGGAACCCAATGCGGTCCGGGACGGGACGGGACAGCTTGTTTGACATCTCTAATACAGCCCACATACTACTAATTGGAGCCGTCAGCGGTTTAAAATAACCCCAGACCTAATCACACTTACTATAAAACCCAAAATCACAATAACTAGAAAGAAAAAAAAAGGTTAGAAAGTTTTTTTTTAGTTAACATCATCATACATACATCCGTCGTGAAGTACCTCGTCCTTCATCTCCGCCGTTGAGCCTCTTACCTCCGGTAAGTAACCCTCACGGGATTGTAGATCGGTTTTAGTTTAGAAAAATACTACTCTGTTTTGATCATTTATGGCTTTTTTTTTTAACTCTAAAAGCGGTTCTATATATACTTTCCATAGCTCGGCTATTGTCTTGATGATGACGACGCTAGCTATGTGGATTTGCTGTGCTTGTTTGCCTGCCGCAACATCCTCACTTCATTCAGAAGCAAAGCTGTCAGGGTTTCGCCACGTGATATACAACACCCCCTAAGAAGATTAAAACATTTAGATCTTAAGCTAAGGATTGAATCAAGTTATAGTACTCTTCAACATTGGCTCATGCATCTTATATGTTAAAACAGAAGTCATGACTTGACTTCATGTGTGATTTTTTTAAAAATGGACTATAACTAGAAAGTCATGTTACATTAATTCTCTAATAATCTTATCATTATTATATCTTTTGAAAAATTGTATCTATAATAATAAATATACGCTTAACAATTTGGTTTTGGTAAATTACCCCCACACCTTCCAACTTAGTCATACAAAATATGTCAATTGATATAAGTTTAGGAATCTTCTATTATTTATAAGGAAATATGTCAATAATAGTTAAATACATCCACAATATATTAACAAAAATCACAGATTCGTAATATGGAATATTTATATACCCTAACAAAATTTATATCATATATATACTAGATAAATTTATTTCGATGTAAATTTTTAAAATTATATTGGTTTTAAAAAAAATTGTTTAAAAAATTCTTTATAATATTAATTTATAAAGCTATAAGTTTAGTTTTAACAAAAAATTCTTTGAATTTATATTATCTTTGCAAATTATAGTATATTAATATTTAATCAAACTCTATTTGTATTACTTTATCTAAAAATGAAATACTAATCTAACAAACAATAAAATATACAAGAAGAAACAAACACATATTTGAAAAACATGTATAATATAAAAATTTTGAAACAATCTATTTGAGTATAGCACCTATTATTTAATATTATTATGTCTGAAAAATATTTACTATACATATCGTAAATATGTGATTACTATAATATATACCAATTTACAAGTGAAAACAAAATATTTATATAACTAACTATCAACGAAACAAACATCCGCGCGGTTGCGCGGGTCAAAATCTAGTAATAGTTAAACCCCACAGTCGCCAGAGACGTTTCACCATGAGCCAATGTATTACAAACAATGATCCAACAAGAACCTTTCTACAAAAGATACTAGACAATGATGATTGATGATCCTTTCTAACAATGAAATTAAAAACGGGACGTAGTAACCATTCATACTTACGAAACGCCGCACAGTCCAGATCAAATATTAAAAGAAAAAAGTTAAAATCTAGCGGACCGAACCAATCCGGTTAACATTTTCCAATACCCGGTTACATAAGAAAAAATTCCCAATTCAGATCTAGGAACCGAAAAATTTGACCAAGTCTCTTTTAACGACGAAGCGAACGGATTCAGTGTATATATTCATAGCAAATCCATCCAGCTTCGAAACGAAATCTGCGCCAGATCTCAACTGTCAAGGTAATCCTCCTCCTCCTCCATTGCTTCTTCTCCGATCTTCTACTCCGGCGATCGTTTCCGTGTTTCTCACTCTACATTGCTTTCTCAGATCTCAACTCGCAGTTCAATTTAGGTTTTGTTAGGATTGCGTATTAGTAATTGGTAGAGATCTGATCTTGGTTGTGTGATCTCTTCTTTTGTTCTGCTTAGTGATTGTATGTGTAGATCCATTCAGGATTGTATGAAGCTTTTAAAAAAAAGTTGTAAAAAATCGGAGATTTGATTGGTTTTAATCTTTGAAAAATATTTGCTTTTGTGTTTGTAGTGAAGATAACTCAAAACAATGTCAGGCTTTCACGGGAGTAATGTAAGTCTCCATTTTGCATTATTATATCTCATATTCATATGCTTCTGTTGGATCTACTTATGTCGCAAAAGTGTTCTTAGCATATGGCACATGTGGTGGTTATTAGATTGGTGTATCTAGCTTCATTGTACAGCTCATTTACGTGTACATATACACTCTATACATCAATCTAATACATTTCTTATGTGGAACTTGAATACTATGCTTGTCCGTTTTTTTACAAAATTGTATTAGGATTCATGTCCTTTGGTGAAGAACATTCTTCTTCTAGACTCTGAAGGGAAGCGTGTGGCTGTCAAGTATTACTCCGATGACTGGCCTACTCATGCTGCCAAGCTGAGTTTTGAGAAGCTTGTCTTCTCCAAGACCTCCAAGACCAATGCTCGCACTGAAGGTTAGACCATTGTACCATACACACGTCTTTCTTTCGTGGACTGTCTATTGGTTTTCCTGACAGATTTGTATATACATGCAGTCTCTTTCTAATCGCTTATAGACGTTAACATTTGTGTGCAGCTGAGATCACACTGTTGGACAGTAATATCATTGTCTACAAGTTCGCCCAGGACCTTCACTTCTTTGTTACTGGAGGCGAAAATGAAAACGAGCTTGTCTTGTCTTCTGTTCTTCAAGGCTTTTTCGATGCTGTTGCGCTTCTTCTGAGGTACTATTTGCGAGACTTGACAATCTAATTTATTCTCCTAAAACAAAATTAATGTTTGATGCATTTTCTTTCTTTGACCAGGAACAATGTGGAAAAGATGGAAGCTCTTGAGAACTTGGATCTCATCTTTCTGTGCCTTGATGAAATGGTCGATCAGGGGTATGCTAGTCTAATATCATATCCCTACACGATTTTAATATGCGAGTCTTAAGCTTTGTGAAAGGATTTGGTTTGAGTTTATTCTCAATATCTTTGCACTTAGCTATTGTTTGATTATGTGTTTTGTGTTCAGAGTGGTTCTTGAAACAGACCCTAACGTCATTGCGGGGAAAGTAGCAATGCAGAGCACAGAAGCTAGTGGTTCACTCTCTGAACAGGTGATGACGACTATTACAGCTTCTCTTTATAGTCTTTGATTTAGTTTTGGATCAGTTTTGTTTTGGTTTGGCTAATCTTAAATTGGGGTTTTACAGACATTGACTCAAGCACTGGCAACAGCTCGGGAACATTTGGCACGAAGTCTGCTTACTTGAGTTTCCTTCGTATTCATTGCATGCCCACACATAATAGAATGGACTTCCAGTTTCTATGAAGAGTTTCATGTCAAAGTCTTGTGATAATAATTTTCGTACTATAATGTTTGGGATATTATATTGCTGTGTGTGCAATGGTGGAATATTTTTGAAGACTGGGTATTGCAGGATCAAGACTTGTCTCTTTACGGAAAATATTTTAATATCCAAATTAATTACTCTTTCCCGTTTCAATTATTTGTGGTTTTGGTTTTTTACAATTAAATTAAAAAAATATTTAATTTTATATATATTTTTTTAAAAAAAACTAAATAGTTATACATCTAATTATATTTCAACTAATAAATAAAATATAGTAATAAATAAAATCAATAAATTTTATATTAAAATATAAAATAATAATTATTTTGAAACAATTTTTTTCTCGACAATGACATATAAACTAAAACAGAAAAGTACTTATTTCTACAATTTTGGTGCCCAATATTTTTGACTACACATACTTTTAGAAGATTCTACCATTACATATTAACTTTGGTATCTTCATTACTCATTAGTCCTGATAAAACTAGAGAAATAAAAAACCTAGAACTACTTTTATGCTGTTGTAACATATACCTTTTCAGTCTATTATTTTGTTTAGCATCCATCTAAAAATTAATTCTTTGTTTTTATCCATCTACCAGGTATTATTACAAATAAGTGGTGAATAATAAATTAATTGTTAAACATATGGTGTAGGACACAAATTAGAACTATGTATCATATTAATTATATTATCTTTTCTTTTTAACAGTAAATAACAATTATATCATTATACAATCTTTAACTCTATCAAATACATGTAACATATACAATCTTACATGTAACATATAAATAAACAACTCCACATCTAATTCCACGATGCAACTTTCACTGGACCACTTGGATTGACAAACGGTTATGTATGTACGACACTTTCAATAGACATATCACATACCCATCCCACATCAAATGACACAACGAACGAATTCTGCGTGCAGTATTCTAGAACCTTCGATAAACTTGCATCATTTTTAAACCCAGTTATCACCTTTAAACCCAGTTGATATTATCTGTCAAATTATATTTGATCAAATATATTTCTTAAAAATATACACCTAGGTTGTTCAGATTACTAATGAATTGAATATGGTAAAATGCTATAATAAAATATATTTAGAAAAATTTCTTAAAAATACACGAACTGATTTACATTTGCTAATAAAATACACTAACTATTTTGTATTCTCGTTTAATACACGAACTAATTTCCGTTACCTATTAAATACACAAACTTTTGAAATTCACAAATTTTACACATCGTTTAAGACGCTGTTAATTACGTTTAACAGAAGTAGCAACAATGTTAATGTTTGATTAGACACATGTTTAAATTGTGAAAAGAAAATTTCTTAAAAATATACGAACTAATTTTATTTTCTTAAAAAAAAATACACAAACTATTTTAGATCCCCGTTTAATACACGAAATAACTTTTGCTTCCCATTAAATACACAAATTTTTAAAATTTGTAGATTTTACACTTTGATTTAGATGATGTGAACTATGTTTAATTTTAACATGATTTAGATGATGTCAACTATATTTAACAGAAGTTGAGACGATGTTGATATTTAATTAAACATGTGATTAAACTGTAAATAAAAATTTCTTGAAAATCGTGCTGGTAAATATATATTGTTAGTTTTTTTCTCTATTATGCTTATATAGTGTAAATTAACCTTGATTGAATCATTATCACTGCAATCAAAACGAATAATAAGAATAATAAACAAATAACACTAAATTAATTACAAAATCAGAAATTCTCTTTAAAATTACCTAATTTTCTTCGTCTTGTTTTTATGACAAGGAAATCAACTTTACTTTGAAATGATATAGAGGAAAACTAAAGAGAAGAAGAAAAAGAGAATGAAAAAAATTGGAGAATAAAAAAGGTTGAAACATAGTTGACGTCATCTAAATTGATGTGAAAACCTGTAAATTTTTAAAGTTTGTGTATTTAATGGAAAAAAATTAGTTCGTGTATTAAACGGAGATCCAAAATAGTTAGTATATCTTTTAGCAAATAAAAATTAGTTCGTATATTTTTAAAGAATTTTATTTTCACAATTTATACGCTTGTCTAATTGAACACTAACGCGGTCACTACTTCCATTAAACATAGTTAACACCGTCTAAAACAATATGTAAAATCTGAAAATTTAAAAAATTTGTGTATTTAATAGATAAATTAGTTCGTATATTAAATGGAAATCTAAAATAATTCGTGTATTTTATTAGTAAATGTAAATCAGCCCGTGTACTTTTAAGGAATTTTCTAAATACATTTTCATGTAAACACACAAATTAACGAACTTACCAGTATCCGTCTTAAGTTAACACTAGATTTTGACCCGCGCAACCGCGCGGGTGTTTGTTTTCGTTTATAGTTATTTATATAAAAATTTTGTTTTCACTTGTAAATTGGTATATATTATAGTAATCACATATTTACGATATGTATAGTAAATATTTTTCAAACATAATAATATTATATAATAAGTGTTTTAATCAAACAGATTGTTTCAAATTTTCTATATTATGCATGTTTTTCAGACATGTGTTTGTTTCTTCTTCTATATTTTATTGTTTGTTAGATTAGTATTTCATTTTAAGATAAAATAGTATAAATAGAGCTTGATTAAATATTAGTATACTTTACTTTGCAAAGATAATATAAACTTCGAAGAATTTTTTGCTAAAAACTAAACTTGTAGCTTCATAAATTAATGTTATAAAGAATTTTATTAAAAAGGCAGTTTTTAAACAATTTTTTTTTTTAAAAAAAATATAATTTTAAAAATTTACATCGAAATATATTTATCAAATATATATATATACAGTATATGGTTTAAATTTTTTTAGGGTATATAAATATTCCATATTACTAATCTGTGATTTTTGTTAATATATTGTGGATGCATTTAACTATTATTGACATATTTCCTTATAAATAATAGAAGATTCCTAAACTTATATATATTGACATATTTTGCGTGACTAAGTTGGAAGGTGTGGACTAATTTACCAAAACCAAATTGTTAAGCGTATCTTTGTTATTATATATATGATTTTTCATAAGATATAATAATGATAAGATTATTAGAGAAATAATGTAACATAACTTTCTAGTAATAGTCCATTTTTTAAAAAATCACACATGAAGTCAAGTCATGACTTCTGTTTTAATATATAAGATGTATAATCCCTAAATAATAAATGACAAAAAGAAAGAGCGGACCAAACTTAACCTTATTTTTTTTTTTTGAACACTTTTTTTTTTTTTTTTTTTTTTTTTTTTTTTTTTT